TGCCAGTTCTAGGAGAAAAACATGTAGCTGTGACATTACAGCCCAGAAGTAAGAATGTGGAAAAGGAGAAAGCGAGTTCCTGATGACGGATTGATGGCACGGAACACAAAGAGGTGAGCCATGAGCCCTGGAGACCACGTCTGAGTCTCAGGGGGAGAGGGACTGAGAAAAGCAAATTAAAAAATCTACGATTGTCACACTGGACTCACGGCAAAATGTCCTCAAGTTCACAGACGCCAGGGCTGCCCTGCTGACTGTAGGCCCTGCTTCGGCCTCTCGCTAGCTGTGTGGCCATGAGCACATGGCCTCTCTACGCCTCCGTGTTCTCATCTGTACGACGGGGTTGGCTGGGCAAAACCAATCCCCGTGGTGTTTGGGAGCTGGTCTACGTAACGTACTCAGAACTCTGTCCAGCACAAGGAAGAACACAGTAAGTGCTGATTGTTATTGAAGAAATTAGGACAGTGTCTGATGTCATCCACTGAAAGGTCAATTTCACTCATTCAACCAGTATTTTTGAGTATCTGTAGAAGGGAGCCCCAGCAAACCAAATCCTTTTCCTCTTTGTTAAAATATCTATTTAATTCCATTTGTTATTATTTTTAATTTGACCAGAGAGAGAGAAAGGGAAACTGAGAAAGCAAGCCTCCAGGTCCAGGACTCGAACCACAGCTGGCATGTCAGAAGCTGGAGCCTTAAACCACCGCGCCACCTGCTGGCCCCCCACATCCTTTTTCTCAAGATGCTTATAAGTGGGAGAGGAGGAAAGAAAAAAAATACAGGGAGACTAAAATAAAGAAATATAACATATGTCATGTGATGATGATGGAGAAAAATATAGCAGAGGAAGGGGATAGAAAGTTCTAGGAGAGAGGTGGGAGGGAAGAATGTTCTAGAACAGTAAATAATAGACACAGAAGGCTTCTGTTTTATAGAAGTAAGGCCAGTGTGGTTGGAGGGAGATGAGGATGGCATGAAATCACCCAGCGGGAGTCAGCAGGCCTCTTCTGGGGGTGGTGGGCAGATCACTCAGGACATGTGACCATTGTAAGAACTTGGGCTGTTGTTCCAGGATGGAAAGGTGTGGGGCTTTGGGGGAAGACGAGACATAATCTATTTTGTTTTAGTTTTTGCTATAGGGGTGTGTGTTCTCACCAGAGAGAGAGAGAGAGAAACAGAGGGAAAGTGAGAAATCACCCTGCAGGGAGATGGCCAGGCCACAATCTGTTTTCCTCACTCTCCTCTCAGGACCTTGGGCACACATGCACGGGTACACCCAGCATGATTTTCAAGCCTCAGGGTCTGGGACTGAACCTGCTCAGTTGACCATATGGAATCAGGAACCTTAACCTCCATACCACCTGCTGGCTCCATAACCTCCCCCCACCCCACCCCACCTCCAGACAGAGAGAGGGAAAGTGATAAATCACCCCGGGGGCAGGGGGATGGCTACACTGCAATGCTTTGTTTCAAGATTTTAGGAATGCACATACACGCACCCAACATGACTTTCAAGGCCCTGGGTTGGGACTGGAACTATGGCTGGCCATTTAAGAATCCAGTTCCTTAACCACCACTGTCATACCCTCTCCCTAACATTTTTCTCCCCTAGGGCATGTGTGCTCACTGGAGACAGTGAGAGAAAGTGAGAAATAGCCCCCTAGGGGGTATAGCCACACCACAATCCCTTTTCCTTCATTCTCTTCCCGGGATCTCAGGCATGCATGCGCACGTGCCTGGTGTGAGTTTTAAGCCACCAGGTTCGGGACTCGAACTGCTGTGGGCCATGTGGGAGTCCAGAGACAAAAACCATTATGCCATCTGCTGGTCCTTGGGTTTTAAAGACCCACTCAGCCTGCTGTGTGAGGCGCAGATTTGAGGGGAGGATGACGGGAGAGAGATCAAGGAGCAGGTGATTATGAGAGGTCAGTGGCTTTGACCAGAGATTAGCAGGGGGCGGGTTGGGTGAGGAAGGAGTACACGTTTTCAAGATGTGTTTTTGAAAGCAGAAACACAGTTCCCAGGTGAACTGGATATACAGTGTAAGTCAGTGAAGAGTCAGGGGTAGGAAAGCTCTGAGAACTGGGATTTTTCTTTTATTCAGTGGCATACCCCTACCTCCTAGACACTGCCTAGTACTCCATAAATCCTCTTTGAAGGAATGAATGAAAGGGCAACTCTGTTTTCATCTCACCTTTCTCTGAATTTAGTAAGGAGTAAATCGTAGCTAAAAGATCTAGGAAGGGACTCCTGTGGCAACCCCGGTTTTCAGTAATTAAGCCATGAAACCTCTTCTAATTCTACCCACCAACAGCGAAGCAGACATGGCTGCATTTCTGGCCAGCTGCTGCCAATGACCAAGGACTAAACTCAGTTCTGATACTTACTGCAACAGAAGAGTACTTCGTTATAAAACTATTCATTGTAAGCAAACCAAAAAGGAGGACACAAACACAGAAAAGTATGTAAGAGAGCAGTTCCCTTGGAAAAAAGCGAGATTCAGAACAGGGAGTCTTATCTGTCCTAAGTTGTAAAACACAAGAAAGGTTTTGATGTTTCTGTATCCTTCAGTTACTAAGACGAAAATAATAATATGTGAAAGTTTTACCCGGCAAAACAAATATACACATTTCAGGTAGGCTATGCAATGCTCTATTTTAAATATTAAAAAGCAGATACAATGTGTCCTATATCATCCTCTCCTACTAAAATTCGTGAGACAGGTGACTATATAGAAAACGATAATCCCAGAAATAGGCTCATTTCCAATCCTCTAACGTATGCTGCAGAGTTTAAAGGCAGCACGGCCCGTTCCTACCCTGGATGACACACACAACTGACACTCGAGAAGGCACCCACTTTCTGCCAGACGGTTTACCACCGAAGTTAAAAGCCCGTCCTTCCTCTTGGCAATTTTGAGGGGTGTTTAAAGTAATAGTCAATTTTGGAAGAAAGCGTTTGATAAAAGCATTTTCAGCTCTAGACATACGTGGCTCTTGACTCGTTCCTGCCGTCCGCCCGGGGTCTCCCGGCGCTGATCTCTGTACTCTGCTCATCGGCCCAAGGTGGGTCGGCTCAGGGCACCCGGTCCGCTGGTGTACCTCGCCGGGAAATGGATCTGACCAGCTGGGTTCAGGTGACTTAGCGGATACTATGAACAGATCTAGCTCTTTCCTTGGGGGTCTGTCTGAAGCTGTCTGGGCAGGACATGGTCACAGAGGCGGCTCGAGTCGACCTAACAGCCTGCAGGAAGGGGCTGGAGTTGGGGCCGGGGCGTTCCATGGGGGCCGAGTTTGCAAATTCGTTTCAGCTGGTGATCTGGGCGTGCGGGGTAGAGGGGAACGTCCCTCAGGCCACCCACAGCAGGGCCGCCGTCCCCATGACCTTCCCCTGGGCATTAAGGGCAGCTCCCCACTGGCTGGCAGAGGGGCACCCCGCGGCTCTGCCCGGCACTCCGGGGCTGCGCGGCCTGGAGCTCGGGGCCACCTGCAGGTGTGCGCCCTGGGCAGGCGCGGGCCTGAAGGCAGACGCCCCCCTGCTGCAGGGTCAGGTGGAGTCAGGCTCGGCCTGGGCGAACTTTCCAGGCCGGGTGAAGTTTCCCACCTTGGGCGAACATGGGCACCGCGCGTTCCTGAGCTTAGGCGTGTCCAAGGGTCGGTCCCTGCAGCCACTTGGCCAAAGCTTGTGACTGTGAATGTGACGTCCCGGGCTGC